GATACCTCGAAAATGGAAGTAGCGATCCTATGTTGCTAGGTGCAACAATCAAGGATAGGAGCAAAAGACTAATGGCTAAGTAAAGAGCCATGGGAATCATGAGAAAAAATTCAAATGGCAAAGTTAGGCCAAGAACACTAAAGTGTTGGGTGCTAACGGATTGTGGGAAAGGCAATGTATTCCCAAGGATGGATTTTTAATTGCTCCAATGTGGCAAAAGTGGAAGCTCTAAGGGTGGGAGTGGTAAGGTAGCCAAATGATAGGGACGTGGACAGCCCTAGCATAAATTATGATAACCAGAACTTAGTGCCAAAGGTGGCAGAAATCGAAGAGAGGATGATGTTGCCCTCGAGTAGAGAACTTCCTAGGATGGGGAAGTGGAGTTGCACAATATGTGCAATACAAGGTGTCAGAGACACCCAGAAAATTGACTTTGAGAAGTCAGAATTAAAAGTTCCAAAGTGCAAGGGTTATATCAATGGAAAGTGAGACCACTCGAGAATGAGTAGTGGGATTGAGTTAGAGAAGGTATCTCTAACAGGTTTAGTGAGAACTAAATCAATAACAGGAGAGAACCACCACAAGTGGTGGAATGAGCCTCTAAGTTGGAGGGGCTATACTCCTTAGAGGATGGACAAGGCATGGTGAGCCTTTGGTGTCAAACCATAAACAAATATTGGCTAGGTGCCATGGATGGAAATGGTAACACGTGTGGGTGTTACTTTATGAAAGGGTTTACCATTCGATGAGGACATCGAACTTCGTCTATGGGTGGTGGAGTTGTGAGACACAAAATCCCTAGGCCCCAAAGTGGAGCCGAAAGGGTGCTACGTGGTAGTGGCTGAAGCAAAAGCCAAACGAGTATAACATGTTTGGACCAAAAGCTCCAACTTGGAAAGGTCAAGAGCGAGAGTGGAACTCCCAACAAAGTGCCCGAGGAACAAGCATGAAGCGAGCAATAAGCGAGGCTCCAAAAAGGGACCCAAAAGGACCCGAGATGGAGTCCGATATGGAGTCTGAGATGGAGTCCGAGATGGAGTCCGAGATGGGACCCAATATGGAGTCCGATATAGAGTTTGAGATGGAGTCCGAGATAGGACCCAAGATGGAGTCCGAAATGGGACCCGAGATGGAGTCCGAGATGGAGTCCGAGATGGGACCCAAGATGGAGTCCAAGGTGGACCCGAGTTGGAGTCCAAGGTGGACCCGAGATGGACCCGAGATGGAGTCTGATATGGAGTCCGAGATGGAGTCTGAGATGGGACCCGAGATGGAGTCCGAGGTGGACCCGAGATGGAGCCTGAGATGGACCCGAGATGGAGTCCGAGATGGAGCCCGAGATGGAGTCTGAGATGGAGTCCGAGATGGGACCCGAGATGGAGTCCGAGATGGACCCGAGATGGAGCTTGAAGTTGAGACTGAGACTGGGACCAAGACCAAGACCGAGACCAAGACCAAGATCGAGACCGAGACCGAGCCCAAGACCGAGCCTGAGACCGAGCCCGAGACCGAGCCCGAGTCCGAGTCCGAGTCCGAGTCCGAGTCCGAGTCCGAGTCCGAGTCCGAGTCCAAGTCCAAGTCTGAGAGGGTGAAAGCCCAAAGCATTCATCTCCCAGACCCTGGGGGGTTTGGTGAGCTCCAAAAGTATAGTAAGGGGAGGACTGCAGTGGAGTTAATTTGGCCAGGAAAGGCTAGTTTGGCCTAGGAAGGCCCGACCTAGTGTTGGATGATGAGCTGCCCACTGGGAAGTCTAAGACTAGAGTGAACAAGTGGGTAGCTTGGTGAAGTGTTCAAGAGCCAGCTCTAGTTCCCCCGGGAGATCGACTGGCCGATGCTCCCAGTCCAAGTGTGGGTGGCACTACCTACTTGGATACCTAGTGTGGCTCAACGGAACCTCGCTCTAAGCCCATGGCTAGAGCACCCAAGGGTAGAAGGCGAGGAGAGTACCCACGAGGCCCGCGTAGGGCCACGGTGTTCCGAAATGTTGCCCCAAAGTCCCAGACTGTGGAAAGGAAGAGGAGTAGCCCTCTGGTGTGGTGACCAAAGACACAGTCACACAGTGAGGAAGTCCCAGAGGACAGTTGGACTGAGTGGTCGGGCCTGTGGGCCTTGATCCAGTGGCAATATTGGCGAACACGGCCACGGATAGAAAGGGACTTGGTGGGGACTGGAAAAGAGATATTGGGGAAGGTTATTCCCCATGTCTGTGAGCATCCTAAGGATGCGGAGGAGTGGATATAGGATGATCATTTATGGACGGATGGCCCAGTTTTTGAGAAATGGGACTATGATGTAGGTGGCGTTAGACCACTGGTGTGACCAAGGTGAATGGGCACGGCCTTAGCGTAACGGGCCAATATGTCGGTGGTACCTTAGGGTGTCAGTCATGGGATCAGACACGTGGAGCACTTGGACCAAGTGCTAAGGTTGAGCGGCATGGAGGCCATTCTTGGGGACTATCAAGCCCTAAGTCCCGAATTGGACTTTCGGAGGTCGTGAAAGAGACTCTTCCAAGTGGTCGGAGATGTGGTTAAGTGACTAAAGTAGAATGGAAAACATTAGTCACTTACACTATTACTTCAGAGTTAAACAAGGAGGAGATTACTACTCTGCCATAAAGATGAATGAAAAGGGAAAAGAAGAGAAATGAAAAAAGGAAAGGGAAATCTAGACAATGCAAAAGTTAAATTTAAACCAAAATCCTAAAAAGAAAGAACAAAAGTAAGAAAATAGAAAAAGTTAGATCTAGATAATACAAAAGTTAGATCTAAACCAAAATTCCAAATCCAAGCAATCCTTACCTCACCTCCACTAATGTGAGTGCATGGAATATAGAAAGGGAATATAAAAAATATGCATATTAATTAGCCCAAAAACCTTAATTTATATACAAGAGCAAGCGGTCCAGATTAAAACGAATCCAACACCTACCAAAATTCCATTACATTAATATTAGTATATGGCACTTGGACCTCACACCAATTAATATTATATTTGGATGACTAAATAAACTAAAGTCTATATAAGAACACTTGTAAAACCCTAAACAATAAAGAAATAAAGCGGGGAACAAGCTATGTTAATCTTAGGGCTGGTGTATCTAATAGTCATGGTTTTGGTAGCACCTATCAAGTGATCTTTTCGAATGATGTTTAAGATTTAGTTCTTTCTTGTGTTTCACTTCTAAAATTCTCAAAAACATGTATTGAGGTTTCCAGATGACTATGTCCCATAATAAGCATTGTCCAGGATATCGAGTCTTTTGTTGCAGATGAATCAAATACCATTTGTGAATCCACTATGCTTCCCATATAGAAACTTCTATAAGTATTAAATAGTATTGTTGTGCTTATAATCTTTAATAGATTTAATTACTACATATTAATTTATAAAGAGTAATATTTATAAATAAAATCATTATTTTAATTTTAATATTTTTTAAAAATAAATAAAACATTTTTTTTATATATATATATATATATATATAATAACTTTGAAGAATGATATATTAGGCTTTGAATGATAAAAACTTTCAGTTTTATTGGGATTTTTATAAGACTATATACTAAAATAAATTTTAGAAGAAAACATATTAAATGTATTATAAATATGCTTGTAATATGATAAGTATAAGTTAGAAAAATTGTAGATAATCTTTAGAAAATAATTACATAGATTCCAGATTAAATGTTTATTAAAAATTAAGTATTGTAAAATTAAGTGATTGTAAAATATTATATAAGGTAGTCCCACAGTTTGAATGTTTAAAATTCATTATTATACATGTATAAAAATTTTCTATATAATTTATTTCTACTATAACAATGATTTTATATATAATATAAAAATTAGTGCACAAATAAGAAGTACCAACCATTATAAATAGTTATAATTCTTTTGAATATACAAAGTGTGCTAATACCACTCTCTTTTAAAGATATCAGTTAACAAAGCAATAACAATAAACTTGCTATATGTTATGATCTTGTCAACAATTTTATTGAGATTTCCCGACTTTGAATGTGCATGGCTGATATAAGCTTTGAATTCTGTAATTTGAAATGATTTTGGGGCTTGCTACCGGAAGCAATAAACCTCTTCAAGGCAATTAAGGAGCACAATGCCATTACCTAAATAACAATGGTGATGGGCTTCACTTGCAATGGACTCCTGTTGAAAATTTGAGTTTGGTTCAAAAAATGCTAGTACAAAACTTGGTGTCATGGATTGTAGTGGTGGCTATTTATACTTCCACTAATATAATTGAGGCAGTGGAAACCTACTATAGAAACATCCTAGAGATTGGGATGCCTGATCACATCATCTTTATAAGCATGCACTTAATGTGCCACAACTCAGGTGTGGTGAAAATCTCTCAAAACTACTTTTAGGACTATAGGGTCAAACCTTCGGGTTAACACATTTGAAAGGGGCAGAGAGCTGTGAAGAAGAAAGGAGAAAGAACAAAACTAAATCTTATGATAATAATAAGAAAACCTTAAGTTCTTAGGCCTTAAGCATGAATATAAATTTTGTTGGAAAACCTACTTACAAATTAACTATCTATCTAGAGCTAACTAGGAGTGAAATCATAAAAGCTAACTAAAGGTGGTGAACTTTTATATATTGTAACAACCAAAAGAACTTTTAGATTGTGGTAATGTTGCCTTTGCTAAAGGCTTTATAAAATTTTTTATTATCTATTTGCAAGTTACAAGGAAAGTTCCCTAGATTATTTTTTATAATTTTTAAAAATGTATAAATTAAATTAATAAATAGAAATATAAATCTTATTCTCCATAAGTTTGAGGAACCTAATTATGAGTGTTCTAATGTTAAAAATATGCTTTAAAATTTATACAGCTGTCAGGAATGGGATTCGAACCCATGCCCTTACGGACTAGTACCTGAAACTAGCGCCTTAGACCAACTCGGCCATCCTGACGTGTGCTTATCGGCTAATTCCATGTGCTAAGCGAAGATACCTTGTCTAGGTCTTTAGCTAGGGTTTATGTTTGTGTAGAGCGCCATGGACGGGGCCACGGACGATCACAAGGCCGGCATTGCGAAGTGGTTCCTGCTACGATCGCCTCCAGGACAGATCCAGCAGGTCGCCAAAGGTAATGCAGCGATTGATCGATTGCAAAGCAAAGATTTTTTATTGCTTGGCCGCGCAGATGTCCAGAAGATTTTGATGAGTGACAAGCTCTACCAGCAAGCGGCTAGCGAAGCATTCCCCATTTACAACATGGAGCAAATGATCTGCCTGGAGCTGCCGGATGGGAGTGGCCAGGTAAAATCTCTCGAGCTCGCTGTTAAATTCCAGTGACGAATTCCTGATTTGCAGGAGCGCTGTGCTTGCTGACAGGTGCTTGTTAGCAACTGTGGCGCTCTCGATTCTACGCACTACCTCGATCTTAGAACCGCGCAGGTAGCAACTGTGGATCACATCAAACAGGCAAGCCTTCTCTTTCCTTCTCTTTTCTTTTCTCACTCGCTCAATAGAAACATAAACTCGTGTCATTCATGTTTCTAGATTTGCACGAAAATTCGTCCAGCTACGGACGAGGAGCTTCCCTCTGGATTTGTTGAAGAGTACAGGTACTCCAACACTTTCGTTGTGTTTCTTTTTTTTTTTTTCTTCCCTTTCTGTGACTGGATTCTAAGCTCTTATTTTTTGTAGGTCTGCCATAGATTCCGAGCTTCTCAAGTACGTGGAAGAGGCGTTTCCAAGAGGCTCTTGCGCCGTGTTTTGCACCGCTGGGAGCACTGCTGAAGAAGACGATGCTCCTTTTGAACTCACAGCTCTAATTTCTGCGTCTAAGATCAGCCATCAGAACTTTTCGTAAGTTGCCCGACAATCGCTACGCTCTCCTCACTGTATCAGCACTGCAGGAGTGGCTCTTGGCGATCGACCTGGAAGATTCAAGTGAACCAAGAGCTCCAGTCTGTGGATCTGACAGGCAAAGTTCACGTGAATGCACACTATTTCGAAGAGGGAAACGTTCAACTCGACACCAACTACGAAGGCTCGGATTCAACCGTACTCCAGGTTTGTTTCTCAACCTTCCATCGACAAATCTATTCAGTTCATTGCTTGCTCCTTCGTAGAATCCTCTGGACGTGGCAACAGCCGTGGTGAATATAATCCGTAGCAAAGAGTCCGAGTACTTGTTATCACTAGAGGTATGGTTAGCTACTTCTCCAGGCCGCCATTTACACGTTCTTTTGTTCACAGGAATCCTATTCAAAGCTATCAGACAACACTTTCAAGGTTTGATCCTCTTTGTTTTCCATGTTGTCCGGAGAGAGATAACCAGCACACGTATTACGTACTTGCAGGAGCTCCGCCGCAAACTTCCAGTGACTCGGACCTTGTTTGCATGGAACAATGCGTTGCAACTCAGCCTCTCGCGGGAGGTGACCCGAGAGCTGAGCAAGTGAGTGCTTTCCCTGCTGTTTGAGTGGCTCTCTTAACTTTCTCCTCTCTGTTTTGGTGCTGAGATAATGCGAAAACTTCCATTGATTCCAAACGTCCAGCTTGCTCTTTTACAGATCCTCATGAGAGTGCGCTGGGATCGAGATTTAGGGCTCGAAGATGACAGACTCGTACCACCTTCTTCGCGGGCGGGGCGATGGCGATTGGGATGAGCCGCTGCCCTGCTGTGGATGCGGTGTTGGATGGTGCAGGCAAGCTCTTGCAAATTTTCTCTTTGTTTTTTTTTGTCTCTCTGTCATTGATTGATTCATCGATTTTGATCCTCCTGGAACTGTGATCTTGCAGCTTCTTGCTGGGTTTCATCGTGCCGCTCTTCTGGTACTACGGTACCTTCGTCTTCTTCTTCCCTCGATTCCAGCGAGATCTTCGGGAGCGCCCCGGATTCGCAGCCTGTGCAATCGCAGTAAGAAAATGCTGGTTTTTCTCTTGGGTCTCTTGGGATGAATGTGATCTTGGCTCAGGCACTCGTCTTCACTGTCGGCCTTGTGATTCTTGTCATTGTTCTTGCGACCTCCTAAAGCTAGGTAGATTCATAATACTCCTTGTACTTAGAAAAAACTTTCGGAAGATGAGCCAGCGCTTTTACTTGTATTCTTTACTCGTACCCTTTCACTTTCTTAAATTTGACGCCACAACGATGGATTTACTACTCTCGTCACTGGGAATCCAACAAACATCCGTTCTGTCTCTTAAATCTTTGTGACAACACTGCCTTAAGTTTGATGCCTCCAACCATGAAAACGATTTTTAATCCTTGGGAGTCAATACCACAAACGTGAAGTAACGCCTAGTGGAAAAACTTTAAAAACCTGTCAACGTGGAGACAACGTTCGCACGTAGCCAGCGATGTCCCGAGAAACAAATATATGGAGGAAGCAACTTGAGAAGAAGCTCGTCACTAGCGTTGTCGAGGATCCAAGATGATGGCGATGGATCCATACGATCAAACCAGGCACAACGTGAAGCGAGTGAGGAAGAGGTACTTCGTCATCGGCCTGTCCAGCATTGTCCTGGTGCTGGTGGTGGTCTGCCTTGCCGTGGGGATCCACAAGAACAGCGGGAGTGGCAAAGGCGGCAGCAGCAAAGGCGGCGTCAATCTCCTCCAAGCTACGTGCCAGCAGACGGACTTCCCCCAGGAGTGTGTCTCGTCGCTCTCGTCCTCGACGCCGGACAATGCCACTCCAAACGATCTGGCAGCGTCGGCTGTTCGTGTGGCTCAGCAGCAAATCCAGAGCTTGATGAACAAGACGGAAGAGTACCTCAACAGCGGAGTCAACGCCACCACCAAAGCCGCGCTCGTTGATTGCGTGGACAACCTCGACGGTGCTCTGGACCAGCTCAACCTCACCATCGCCTCCATCGATATCAAGTCCCTGCTCAGCAAAGCATCGTCAGTGGACGATCTCTTGACATCACTCAGCTCTGCGCTAACGTTCCACGATACCTGCATCGATGGCTTCGAAGGTATCAGCGGCACTGTCAGCGACAAGCTCCATGTCGAGGGAGGCTACGCCCACAAGATCCTGAGCAATGCTCTCGCTGTGGCCACCATCTTCTTTTCACAGCTTCCTTCCCTGCCTCACTCCATCCCTGTCCGCCGGCTGCTCGAAGAAACTCCCCAGGCTCTCGATGGCGATGATTCCATCCCCGAGTGGGTCTCAGCTGCTCAGAGACGATTGCTGCAGCAGAAAAAAAATTTCACCCCGAACGTCGTCGTTGCGAAGAATGGAAATGGGGACTTCAAGAAGATTCAAGACGCCATAGATGCTGCACCCCTGAAAAGCAGCAAAACATTCGTCATATACGTAAGAGCGGGAGTTTACTCAGAAAGTGTTGTCATACCGAAAAAGGCCTTAAACATTATGCTGGTTGGAGACGGTATCGGCCGAACCATCATCACAGGAAACAAGAACGTCCAGCAGTCGGGTGTCACCACTTTCAACTCGGCAACCGTTAGTAAGTCTCATATCTTTGCCTCCAGCACGCCTAACCTGGTATGTTTTCAGTTGTCAGTGGAAAAGGATTCTTTGCAAGAGATCTTACCATCAGAAACACCGCTGGACCTGAGAACCACCAAGCCGTAGCACTTCGAGTAAGTGCAGACCAAGTCGTCTTCTACCGGTGCTCTCTCGAGGCCTTCCAGGACACGCTCTACGCACACACGCTCCGCCAGTTCTACAGAGACTGCCTCATCATGGGTACCGTCGACTTTGTTTTTGGTAACGGAGCTGCTGTCATCCAGAACTGCACCGTCTTGGCCAGAGTTGGCATTCCGGGCCAGCAAGTCACCTTCACAGCACAGGGGCGCGTCGATAAGAGGCAGACCACAGGCCTGTCTTTCATCAGCTGCAAGATAGATGCAACTCCTGAGCTAAGGAACGAGATTGCACAACATCCATCGTACCTTGGAAGGCCGTGGAAGCTCTACTCACGGACAGTCTTCATGAAGTCGTTCATCAGCGATATAATTGAACCCCGTGGATGGCTGGAGTGGAACGGAGACTTCGCTCTCAGCACTCTGTTCTACGGTGAGTATAAAAACACTGGCCCTGGTTCTGACAGAAGCAAACGCGTTCAATGGTCGACTGGAATCACAGACAAGAAGGTGGCTAGTAAGTTCACGGTGAAGTCTTTCATCAATGGCAACTCATGGGTGCCACAGAGTGTACCCTTTGCAGCTGGCTTATAGACAAGCCAAAGTTTTCCGGATTGCTTTTTCATTCTTTATGCGTGCCTGGAGCAGCACACATTTCACTGAATAAAGTACTAAAGGATACACAGATTACCTGTGACGGCCAGCCATACGTGTTTCTCAGACCTGGAAAACAAGACTTTGTATGACATCCAAAGAGTTATTGCTAAGCAAAGAGGCATACACAGAAGACAGACACACAAAGACTCAACGCAAAGACTCGTGAGAGTTTGCAATAAAACGTCCTCCACATTCATTCCACGCTACGTAGTATATACATATACATACTCAAGCAAGTGCTGCGATCCCATTTGAGCTAGCCAATGCAACAAATATATTGCAAAAGATCACTCATAAATGCTGCCTTACCCCACAAATCCAGGCTATTCCGCCGTCCAGCTCTGCTCCACAATGTCGCGGACTCTCCGGTTGTACTCTCGACGGTTCTCACTATACATCCGCGCTGCTTCGGAGTTCGCCGGCGAGTTTGGGTTAGGATCACAAAGCAGTGACTGCGATGGGTAAGTGTAAGAAAGTCTATTCCAACAAAGGCGAGCAAAAAAACCAAACCTGTATGGACGTAAGAATTGCCGCAACATCGTAGATCGGACTCCATTGATTTTGCAGAATGTCGAGGCAAATACTTCCATCAGCATAAACTGCGAAGAGATGAGTAAGAAAAAGAAGAAACTCAAAGAAAGAAGCAAGGGACTCACTATTGGGATGGAACATCTTGGAAACAAACCTCACGGTGGGAGGTTTGTTGGGATAGTCCTCTGTGAATTGCAATGTCAGCTTAAACGTCCCTGTACAGTGCCACCAAAAGCTTAAGCTTAGCAACCAAAACACACGGAAAAATCCAAAAGCTCTAAAACCTCACCTCCATCCCAGGGAGTGTCATCCGGCCTGCAACACGAAACCAAGAGTTAGATCGATACCCTAGTGCCGAGCGGCTACATTCCTACCCGAAGATCACCGCGTTCCAGAGCATGATGTTGTTGTCCTGCGGCGCGCCGCTGATTCCCGCGGGAGGATCGTGTTGGAGGCGCTTGAAGTCTCGCATCAAGCGCTTCCTTGATGGCGTAGACATTTGGGCGCGGCGCTCTCCAACCCCAACCCTGGAACAAAGAATCAAATGGGACCTATTTTTCTCCACTGCCGCCTTATAAGCCATATGCCCTAGCCATTCCGCCGCGGAAAGGGGCCAGGCGATGGGGAATCCCAGCCGTTGGTGTGAAGTTTAGATCTTTTGAGTGGGAAATCTCAGTGGTCGCGTCTCTAGATAGCCTTGAGCTAGGTCGCGTTGCGCCATTGCGATCCCAGCCTCCTCCTTCATCCAGGTATGGCGAGTCTATCGATCCAGATCGAGCTAGGAGCATCGATTTGATAGTTCTTGGAATGCAGCGCAAAGACTATGGGAAGAGATTTCCGTCGCTACCACCGGGAGCGATGTGCCTCGGCTCCTACCGTCTCGGGATATTACGAGAGGTTCCCATCGCAGGAGCCTCCGGTAAGATCCGAAATCTCTCCTAGGCACTGCTCCAGAAGGTAAGCGTTCCTTTGTTCTTCGCAGTTTCGTCCAAACTTAAGATACATCAATCCAGATGTGGGCTATGAGGCACCACATCGATCCGCAAGGACTGCTGTCCCTGGCGCTGGAGAATCGACGCTGGACCAGCGGCTGATCGATCGAAATCCAGACGGGGTAACGAAACCATTTGCTCTATGTTTATTTGCAAGTTCTCACTCACTCACTGTGTGTTCTATCACAGTGGAGGCCTTGCCACCGCTACATTGATCCTGGAAGTGGCTCGCGCAGCGAGAAGCCATTCCGGCCTTGCGTGAAGAAAGTTCCAGGCCCGCCTGATAACCGATCCGATCCATGGAGGTCGAGCAAGCACGCTGTAAAGCACGTCGACGAGAGCAAGGGCGATGATAAGTGGAGGTCGACGCGACACAGGCCATCCATTTTCGAGGACTGGTACCTCGACGCCTCGCTCCAGGAGGACTGGCGCTCGACGAAGAAGCCGGCTCGCTACACGCACCAGCCCGAATGGGTTCCTCCTTTCAGGGAATACGAAGGCAAAGTTCCTCAGCGGGTAACACTCTAGCTTGTCTTTGATTGCAAGCTTTGATCGTTTCTGTGTGCAGTTCTACTCCATCGTTCCTGGCAAGCATTTCCAGAGAAGGCCAACCGTGAGAGGCAAGCGCAAAAGCACCAAGTACAACCAGTTCGCCACCACCTTCGACAAAGACGAGCACTTTGACGAGTTCAAGCGGCCGCTGGGTGGCATCAAGACGAGGTACAGGAACGAGCACCAATGGCCCTTCACGCCGCTGCCACCACCGCGGAACAAGAAGCAGTTCTACACTCACGTCTGCCACCACGAAGGCGTGAGCACGCTCATGAACCCGAAGAGAGACTACGACTACAACTCGTACGTCTTCCTCTAGACAAGAGCCGAGAGTTCGGAGCCATGGATCACAGTACCAGTTTTGGGATTGAGATGGAGGACGAGGCGGTTCTCGTATCGAACAGATTGATCCAGATGTATGGGAGCTCCGGGCTGGTGAAGAAAGCACGGCAGGTGTTTGACTCCATGGGGATTCACAGGGATAGTTTCAGCTGGAACTCCATGATCTTTGCGTACTCGGTGAACAGGAACTTGCCTGAAACCAAGCTCCTGTTTGATCGAATGCCGGCCAAGGACTTGGTTTCCTGGACGACGATGCTGGCGGCGTATGCCCAGAACGGGCAGCTGCTGGAAGCCAAGGTGGTGTTTGACGAGATCCCGCTGCGCAGTCAGGTGGTGTGGAACTCGATGCTCTCGGCCTTCGGGAAGAACGGGGATCTCCAGGAGTCGAGACGTTTCTTTGGGGAGATGCCCGAGTGGGACATGGCTTCCTGGAACGCCATCCTATCGGCTTCGTCCCACAACGGCGACTTGGAGGCGGCCAGGGAGCTCTTTGCTCGAATGCCTTGCCAGAACATCGTGTCGTGGAATGCGCTCCTCTCGGCGTGTGCACAGGACGGATCTCTCGACGAGTGCCGGCGGTTGTTCGAGGCCATGCCCGAGAGGAACTTGATCTCCATCACCGCCATGCTCACTGCCTATGCCCGGACCGGGCATATCACCGAAGCTCGACGCCTGATTGCGTCCCTGGAGGAGGTGGACGTCGTGTGCTGCAACGCCATGCTCGCTGGATACGCCCAGAACGGATTCCTGGAAGAAGCCATCGATTTCTTTGCTGCGATGCCACAAAAGGATATGGTCTCCTGCAACGCGATGCTGGCAGCGTATGCTCGAAGCCGGAGAGTCGCTGAGGCCAGAGCGCTGTTTGGAAGGCTCCCAAGGATCAACCTCGTCTCCCTCAACGCCATGCTCGCGGCCTACTCGCAGAACGATCACGTCCACGAGGCTGTGGATCTCTTCTCGAGCATCCCGGAAATAAACCTCGTCTCCGCGACGACAATGGTGGCGGCTTTCGCTCAAACTGGACAGATCGAGCAGGCCAAGTTTGTCTTCGATTCGGTGCCGCAGCGGAACCTGGTTGCCTGGAATGCCATGCTCTCGGCCTACTGCCAGTCCGGTCTCGCGGAGGACGCCATCAAGCTCTTCAACCTCATGCCACACCGGGACGTTCTCTCGTGGACTTCGCTGCTAGCCATGCACGTTGCAGCGGGGAACACCACTGCGGCCAGACTAATCCTGGACAGAACTCTCTCGCCAGATCTGATCTCCTGGAGTTCCATGCTCGCTGGCTACGCTCGAAACGGACAGCCAGCCGAGGTCTTGGATCTCTTCCACTCGATGAAGCTCATCCACACTGTCGACGATGCTTGCTTTGCCTCGGCCATGCTGGCTTTCTGCCATTCCGGAGATTTGTACGCTGGAAGGTGCTGCGTCCAGTCCATGAGAGCTGACTTTGGGATGCGCCCGATCAAGCACCACTACTGCTGTGTGATCACGCTCTTGGGCCGAGCCGGGTTCTCGGACAGTGCTTACGAGCTGGCCTGGAGCATGCCATTCGAACCGGACGCCTTGGAGTGGAAGTGCTTGCTGGGCGCCTGTGGAAGTCACAGTAATCTTCAGAAGGGAGTGTCGCTGGCCGGACGCCTCTTGGAGATGGACGTGAGTGATGCCACATCCTACATCGTGCTGTCCAACCTCTGGTTCTTCTCGGACCGCCAATTGCAAGCTCCAGGGACCTTGGAACCAGACTAGAGACTTCCAGCTTTCCTGGAACTCAGTCCCTGGAGTTAACGTTGAAATAACTACACTGTTGTCTACCGTGACGAGCCACGAAACCATCCTACGTGCTTCCAACCTCTACGAACAGTCTTGGAACCAGCCACTCATTCTTCTTTGGAGTTCTATAACCTGTGAGTAAACATTGCGCCAAAAAGTATCGCCAGCAGTGAGCTTGTACCTCTGGCTTATTGGTCAGCCAACCATGTAAGCTAATCCGCAGGGGCCAATTCCTCTCCTCAGTAGCAAAATTGGATCACCATGTACATGTCAATGAATGGTCACAGGTTCCGCCGGAAAGCTGAAAAGATTCCAGACTTTTTCTTCTTCTCGCTTTCTTCCTCTCCAATCTGGGAATACTCCGTGAGCACTACGCGACTCAAGGAGGAAATTACCTCTTTATACACGTCTTGCAAAACTAGAGTAATTATTGAAAACTCCGGCCTCTCTGCAGCGTTTGATTGCCAGCATTTCTCCATCAATTCAGCAAGCTTGGGATGAGTGTTTTTCGGAATAACAGGTCGCAGCCCCTGGAATTTTAAGCGTTCTGTCAAGTAGCAGAAGTTCCGTCAATATTACCTTCTGAACGACTGCAACAGCCGCTTGCAACGGTGTGAGATAGTCGTAAGGCAGCTGCAACAAAAGGCCTTCGTATTAAGAAAGAGTTGATATGACAAATCATGTACCTTGCCCGTCAAAAGCTCCCATAAAACTACGCCAAAACTAAAGATGTCAGCCTTGTGGTCATATGGCTTATGCTCGATAACCTGCAAATGCGGCCTTCCGTTATAATGCATGCAGACCATGGCTGACAATTACCTCTGGTGCCATCCAACGATAAGTTCCCGTTTCTGCAGTCATCACACCAGTGTGGTCCTTCACTCTTGCAACTCCAAAATCAGCTACTTTGACAACCTACGTGACAGCAAAGATGAACATCTAGGTTAGGTAAGTCTACACTCTACCTCGTTCTCGTCCATTAACAAGTTTGCCGCTTTCAAATCCCGGTGAACTATGTTGTTCTGGTGCAGATAATCCATTCCTTTTGACACGTCAATAGCCACTCTCAGTGCCATCGGTAGTTTTAAAACGGATCGATGCTTGTGCAAATAATCGTAAACACTTCCACCGGACATGTACTCTGCAAGGACAAAGTCAAATCGATAATCTCGACAGAGACAGCTTGCAGACCAGTGACTATAGATAAGTTCGGCGGCTTAGTGCATGCTCCTATAAACTGCACAACGTTTTTGTGGCGCACTTTCCTGGAAGAATAAAGGATCAATTTACAATGTTACGAAATGCTATAGCGGTTACCGCATGATGAAGACTTCTTGAGCAAATTCCTTTTGCAAATCTTCGTTCAAACGCTCGGGTTTCAACACTTTAATTGCAACATCTTGCCCGCAGTACACTCCTCGGAAACTGGAAAAAGAAAAAAAAGTTGAAGTGCAAGGAAAGAAAACAAAACGACAAGAAAAAATCTTACAGATCACCGAAGGAGCCAGAAGCCACCTTATGCAGCAGTTTCAACTGCTCACTATCGATCTCCCAATCATCCTTCCCATCAAAAGGAATCTTTACATGACCGTGCCTGCGGCCATTTGAAAGTGTTTTGGTGGGAGATTTCGGCTTGGTCCACGCCTCTTTCTGCAACAGCGAAAATGTCTTAGTATCTAGAACATTGAGACGAGTGAGTACCTCAATGCCAGCCAATGCTCGCTCCATTGCCAACTGTAGGCCCTCCGTATCCTGATAGGCAATCTCACTGGATAAAAATCAACTACGCAAGGATGCATACCTCACATGACCAGCCGTCCACTACGAAGACATCGAGAGAAAACCCATCTCTAGTGGAGAAAGCGTGCGCTTCTTGGATATTCAATCCAACGTCGGCAAGC